TTGGGAGACAGGGAGTTATATTGAAATGCGATCAGTGGGCGCATACCAGCAGAAATTGGAAATATAGTTTCTTTGGTGTCCTTGGATTTGTACAATAATAGATTGGTAGGAACCATTCCGAAAACAATTAGCAAATTGGTGAACTTAAAATTTATGTAAGTTATATAATCTATCCCATGCTAGCTAGCTAGCTCAATATTATATATAATATATATTGATGTATAAATTTTAACTTATCTTTACAGTGTTGGTCATCACTTTTATATTTTTAGCCTTCCATATATATTACTTTGAATAATTAAAAATACGCTCATGCTATTGCATACATATTATGTCTTTGCGAGGATAGGAGGCTCCAAAATAACCAATTTAACGGATGTATTCCTATTGACGCATTTGCATGTCTCATCAACAAAAACCCAAACATGTAAGTACTCTCTCTACACGCACACACATTTTTAATATATTAAAAGAATGCACGTGATATTGTTGCTTTGTTTTACTTAAACTTATTTTTATTATTAGATTTATATTTAATAGTGTAATATAATTTTCTTTCCATGTGTATAACCAAAAATGGTGTATTTCAAGATAAACAATAATAAATGTATTGAATAATTAAATATAATATCTATTAATATTAACATAACTTTGTGATAAATAAAATCTATGATCTCTGGAGGGCGCCTATCTTTTGACTATTGTCAATTAATCTCTTCAATCTCTGATTAAATAATAAAACACTGGGTTGAAAATCTAAACTACAATAAATATTTATATTTGTGAAATTTTAAATGCTAAAGAAATCTATGTCGTCTTTAATTTTGCTATTTACTGATATCATTATAATTGCCGTCATAATGTAGTTTTTAATGTCTTCCTTTCGCGTCATACTCTTAGAAAAATAATTTGAACTTGTTATAACTATTATTTGTAAATGTTATTTTTTTATTGTTGATTGAAAACTAACCAACTATGTTTGAATGTTTCGTTCTCTATTAATTTGATTGTAAGTGATTGGAAATTTAATTATATTTGCAAGTATAATATTCCATAATACTTAGATATATATTTTCTCTTTGGATATAATGACATAAGAGATAAGTTAATATTTAAAAATTCCTTTAAAGTCCTAATTACTTATGAAAAAATACTTGAAAAAGATAGGAACAGTAGCATCCTTGATTGATCAAAGATTGTCCAAGATAAATTATTTTTGTACCTCCTAACATTTACATTCATGCATTATCATTTTTGTTCATGGACTTTCAAGACTATCTTAAATGTGGGAAAATAAATAATTCCAATTTAATTGAATTATAAAATGATGATTATTTCATATTTTATTTTTATCTTAATATTATTTTTATATTTTCGTCAATATTTATATATAGTTTATTTTCCCTACTTATGAGAAGTGATTTGAAAAACTTAATTTATTCTTGATTTTATAAATAAGATTGGCTAATGATGACAACAATTTTAAAGTAAATGTACTATCTATTTCTGTTTAGTTGATTCTAATTCTAACTTTTCTAATAAGTACATGTATTTTGAAATTCAAAATTTAAAATCGAGTTTTAATTATTTTATTTTATTTTTTACAATTACTCTTATTTTTATGTATATTACAATTAAAGTAAATGGTAGATTAATTTATGTAACACATATTATCATAAAGAACATATATACTATGGATACTATTCATACGTAAGATTAAATCATATTGTGCATATTGTTTTAGTGAATAATTTAATCAAAATATTTCTATTATGATTATATATTCTACACTTAACGAATAACTTTTTTCCACAGAAATTTAACATTTTGTATGTTGAAGAATTATTATTGATTCAATTATTCTTATACATAAGCATGTTCACTTAATTGTTCCTCTTTAATTTTTTAATACTGTAACAAAAAATCTCTATAGTAAACAATATGATATTTGAAAATTAGAGATGATACTTTCATTGGTGCATTACATATTTTACACTAATGAAATAAAACATATTTTATTACAAAATCTTATAGTAAATTTTTTTTCTGACACTTAAAAACTACCTAAAAAATCAAAAATTGAAACCTATCGTCACATGTAGATCTGTTCTAAATAATATAATTCATAATAAATTATTTATTTAAAATCTGTAATTTTGCGTAGATAATCTTTTTGTATATGTAAAAACTTAAAAATAAGGAATTGCATTAATAACCTTAAAACTTATGTTTAGTAAAGACATTCTTGACAATTCAAAAGTTTTAATAAACTACCATTCCTTTTAAGAGAGTCATAGATAAGCGCAATATTAAGTTTACATTTTGATTACAATACTCCTTTGCAGATACATTGATATATCAGGCAACCCCAACCTGTGCACCCCATTTACTCCCGGAAAGGCCTGTTACAATATATGCAAGAAGCCTCAGAGTCCCTCTCCGTGTTAGGACTTACGGTGCTTTCTCATGATATGCCGGAATACTGTAACTTTGTCGAATAAATGTAACTTTGTCGCTCCTCGTTGTAATACTGTCTCATGTTATAAGACTAAAAAAATAAACATATGAATAAATTTCTTGGTGTCATAATTTAGGCTTATTGGTACCACCTAGTTTATAACTCAACAAATATAGCAACAATATTGCATTTAAATCCTACAAAACTGCAAAATTTCATTAGTAGTGATATAGACACCACCTATCCTAACCTAGAATTTAGGGATTTGAAAATTATTGATATAAAGTTTCTAATAATTCTAAAACAATTATCTGAATCCACGATACTCCGTTGACAGTGCAATGCAGAATGCCAAGATAACTTTTGAATATTGTTGTACTTAAATTTTTTGAAGTCGTCAGTTTATCATTTGAGGTGTATATAATCATACTCTTTATTGGGCCTACACCATCACGAGCCCAGAATTTAAGATGAAGTATCGGAAGACACGCACCAGCACACAAATTCAATGTCGATCTTTTTCCCATTCAAGTGTCGATCCCTGAACTGATGCTGGAGTGTTGACCTACCAAACCAGTCGAAACAAAAACTTAAAAAGTATTTGCGATATATTTTTACTGCCCACAAGTGTACGGTGCAGCTATAGTAAGCGGCGAGTAAGGTCATATTCTACAGAGATTGTCGTTAAAGTAATTAATTATGAAAATACAGACGATCAAAAATATTATTTTTACTAAAGCAAATTGGGATGAAGTTCTAAATCTAAATTAATGAATAATGGTAAATTAATTTTAACAACCAATGAAGGCTTGTCCTAAAATATGAATAAATGAATGAGACAGTTAAATTCTAGGCTAAGTTTTTCTCGAATTTATTCTACAAAATATTTTCTATTCATTAAAATCTTGTTTAACTCTACCAATCGTAGGGATAATCACGAAAGTAATCTAATATCTCACTCAAGCAAGTTAAATCACTGATATATCTCATCTTTGTCTCAAAGATGAACAATTAACTCTCTTAGTTCCTCTTATTCTAATGTGATACAAAAATTAGTAATTTATAAAATGTTACAAGATCTATTTACCAAATGTCATAGGGTGATCGATTTGGGTCTATAAATGGGGTGAGAAAATACATAAAACTCCGCAACAACAACTTATCCTTTTTATATCATTTGTATTTTCTGTAAGTTGGAGAGAATGATGGACAAAATTGGAGTGGTGTTATGGTTGATCTTCATTGTGAACCCTTTTAAAGGTGTCCATAGTAATACTGAAGGTATGTAATCCTTTTATGTTATAATGTATTAGATTGTTTCTGGTAAACACATAAGTTGGCATGTATATATGTATATATTTAGTTATATAATAATTAATTTGTATTCAAATAAATTTTTTTCCATAAAATAATAATAATAATAATAATAATAATAATAATAATAATAATAATAATAATAGACTTTTTTTTTTGTTCCACCTAACTCGCCAACTATTTTAACCAAATATTTTTATTAGTTTAATAAAATTTTAATTTAGAATCAAAAATTACAAACTATTTAAATGAAATTAAGTTATCAGCTATCAACTAAATCTAAAAGCTCAAAAGAAGTGCAATACTTTCTTTTAGCATAAATGTGCAATTGAATAATATTTGGTAAGAATAATTGCTGTCTGAAATTCCAATGGTTTTATTTGATAGGTGACTCCTTATATAAAGTTAGGCAAAGCTTAAAGGATCCGAGAGGTGCAATGTCGAGCTGGGACCCTACACTTGTCAATCCTTGTACATGGGAGCATATCACCTGCGTGAATAATGCTGTCACAAGAATGTAAGCACACGACTTAGTATATATATTTATCTTCCCGTTTTCATATTTCCTGTTAACTGCATCAATTATACTTGAGTTGACTCAAGTGTTAACTGCATCTATTACCGGAAGACTAAATAATGATAATTCTCTTTCGTGGATTTACTACTCTCCTCCTATGTCCTATGTGTTTTTGTATATAGTGTTGGAAGCAAACACACAGGTTACACAGGTTGAGGATCCTACGCCATCATATGGTTACGAGGGAATGTTTGGTGGTGAGGGTACGTGGACTACGCATGCCGGTAATTTTGGTGAAGGGACGAGTAATTTCGGCGAAGGGACGACTAATTTCGGCGAAGGGACGACTAATTTCGGCAAAGGAACGAGCTTTACCATGAGAGGACCGGACATTGAGGAAGAAATTGTTGGAGATGAAGATTTCATTCCCGGTGAAGACGATTTCACGGATGAGACCTCGGAAACCGAATCGGACAGATCAATTAATGAGGAGAGCGAACAAGAATTCATTAAAGAACACCCCTTTCCAAATGAAGGCCTCTACGATTATCGCGAGATGGGTGAGTGGGACTCGTCGTGTGTAGACAGGGACGAGTATGCCTTGCCAGTCTGGGATGGGCGTGCCGACACTATCCGTTTGGGTACAGTTTTTCGTACCAAGGAAGAAGCCCGGACTGGTATTATGGCCTAAAATGTTGAGAATCTTAGGGCGGTCCGGACAAAAGATTCCAACAAGAAGTCGTTCAAAGTTGTGTGCAGATCAGCTGAAGTTGTACCATGTATATGGAAGGCTCGGGTGAGTCTTAACAACGGGATCACGACATGTGGGAGGTAACCGAATGGACCAATAGCCACACTTGCATGCAGATGTTCGAGAAAAATGACCACAAGAATGTGACCGCCACCATGATCTCAAATCTTCTGTTGGCTAAGATTCAGAAGTAGGTGACCTACAGTGTGAAAATGGTCCAGGCCGACGTAAAAAGTGCCTGAGGCGTCGATGTCAGCTACAAGAAGGCGTGGCACGGGAGAAAAAAAGCCATTGATCGTCTGCATGGCACGTGGGAATCGAACTTCGCACAACTCCCCCAGTAAGCAAAAATTAATTATAAACGTATTTACATGTTGTTTGTAACTATATTTATTTATTTATTTATGGTTAACTTTTATAATTTGCAGATTTTTTGCCGCCCTTCAAAAGGCGAATCCCGGTACAATCGTTGAGTGGGAATGGCAGGGTGGGGAAATTGCGAAGCAATCTCGAGACAGAGAATTCAGATTTGTCTTCTGGGCGTTCGGCCACGACATTCAAACTTTCCTTCGTCGCCCGCCGATTATTAGTATCGACGGCACGCACCTGCGAGGTTCGTACAAGGGGAAACTACTTGTTAATTGCAAATTAATATTTTATTTTCTAATTTACAATAGAGTCTGATAAAAAAACATATGTCCAACTGAGCAGGTTCGTACAAGGGAAAGCTGCTTGTTGCCATAGCACAGACCGCGAATAAGCGTCTATTGCCAGTTGCGTATGTGATTGTGGACGAAGAAAGCACGGCTAGCTGGTCCTTTTTCCTAACACATCTGCACCATCATGTCGTCCCCGACAGACCGATATGTCTTCTTTCCGACAGGGACAACGGCATATTGAGTGCCGTTGAATTACTGGAGACTTGGCACGAACCCCATGCATTTCATCGGATATGCCTTCGACACCTCCGAAGCAACGTGTTTTCAAGGTACCAGAATAAGAAAGTCCGGGGTTTGTGTTGGAGGTTGGGTTCACTGTGTTCTCGCAACAAATTTGAGCAGAGTCGACAGGAACTCCATGAATGTAACCCGGACGCATACGATTACCTTTTAAAAATTCCTCTGGAAAAGTGAACCCTGTACAAAGATGGAGGACAGTGAGACTATTCAATGACCAGTAGGACTCTGAGCAGAGGGGTACATTGAGTGGTATCACAGTAGGACTGTGAGACTATTCAATGACCCCAACAACTACGCGGCGATCTCACAGGACGGCGGGTTTCAGCCATATGCCGACCGGGAGAAGTGTCAAGTAAGTGTCTGCTAATTTGTGATTTTTATTATTATTATTATTATTATTATTATTATTATTATTATTATTATTGAAGTAATTATTATTATTATTTTTTTTTAATATTTTATAGTTATTTGAATTTTATTTTGCAGAATTCGGGTACGGAGGGGGCGTATAACATGCTATCGAACATTGAAGACATTGATACGCTACCTCCCCGAGCGCAGTCACAGTTCCAGCAAGCCCAGGAACTTCTGTACGCTTCTCTGACTGTTGGGGGTCAGTCGGTCACACAAGGGGCGTCATCGGAGCAAATTCTATCTCAAAAGGAGTATGCCCCACCCCAGCATACACAGTCTCAGCGGGCGAGGCATAGACCGGCGCCCCACATTGGTGGAGGGAGAAGACGCCGTGACCGCGAACCCGCCCGGAATGAAGAAGACGAAGAAGGTGAGATTTTTTTATTTAACTACAAATATATTTTTTTTCAATTAATACTACAATAACAAAAAAAAAATCACCAATTCTTTTATAAAATAACTCTCCAAAACCCTAATTCTCATAATCCAACCATACAATACAAATCATCCAATTTTCACAAAAATTCTCAACATACACCGAAACCCATCATCCAAGAACAATGTATAATCATTTAACACAACTATTAAATCAACAATAAATCTTTTCTAAACTATACTCATCAAAACCAACAAATATTTCTTACACATTCATAAACAACAAAAAAACGTAATTACATTACATTAAAATAACAACTATCCTTTTCTCCGAATTGGTTGATTGTTAAA